CAAATTGCATGTTTTTTGTTGCCCGTTTTCCGTATCTTTAGGTTGCGCTGATTTCCAAAATTAACTGAAGACTTTTAACGAATGAGAAGACAGATCAGATAGTGAGTATTATGAATAGAATAACCTTTCGAACGCTGTCCATGATGTCTGCAGGCACATCTATGTGAAGGTCAAACACGAAAATTATGTCATGCGCATTAGGCACCGCTTCGGCTGCTTTGTTCAAGGCAAGAGTCTTGTAAAATTTTCCCGTTAAATTAATGATAGTATGCCTACTTCGGAGTAGCGATGTGCTAAACGCCTCGCTCATGTTAATATCTTTACTTTGAAAATCAGCGATTACGACGTGAAAGTTTGTGTCACCGGTTAATAAGCTCGCCATGGTGAGCTGTTTGAGGAAATGATGTACCCATAGTCCTTGATCCTTGACGGCGAGGATAAAATACACTGTGGCGCTGCTGTTCCAGTTCATTCCTTCAGGATGGCACAATATATCACTTCCGTTTCTCTGGTACACGTGTTGTGCAAAGCGAATTGATCGATTCAATGGGTCATGCACTAAACCAAGTTCAAGATCCAACAAAAACCGATCGCCATTTCCGGGGTCTGATTTTTGTATCACTTTGTTCACTTTTTTTACGTAATACCTCCTAAAAAAGAAAACAAAGAAAAGAAATGAGAGACGAAATCCGCCAGCAAGATTGAGGAACTGCCGGTTGAGTTAAAGTCCACGTTGTGTGGTATAAGTGCACATATTAGCCTGCTTAACAGGCACAAAAAGGGGAGGGGTAGCCGGTAGGGAGGAGGGAGAAAAGCGCAAAACCCTCTCTCCCCAATCCCCCTTCCTTTTTCCCCTATAACCCGGCCCTACCCGTTTCGGCGTCTGCTACGCAGGCTATGCACCTATCATCACTAGACACCTTTGTTAGAGGGCGAACCCGACAACTACATAGGCGAGATTTAACTCAAATTTTTGTTAGCGTATTCTTAAAAAAAGACATTTCGGAAAACGTCATTGTACTTTTTTTCACCAGAAAGGTCAGCACGGTTATTTATTTATTTTATTTTTTTGAACGGGTTGAGTTTTCTTAGGGTCGATGATAAATCTACTAACATTTAATGATTCGTTTTCGTTACCTCGGCACTCGCTAAAACTAGTCGCTGTTAGTTTGACGACGACCATCTCGTATGACACTGGCTCACTCGCGCGCACTACTAAGTGTCTAGGACAAGTCGAACAGGGTCTAGAAAATCTGGCTCGTCCTCTTAAAAGGGACTTTAAGATCCAACGACGCGGACGGCAACGAGAGCGTCATAAAAAACAATAGCTTTTATAAGCAAAACAACAACTTTGCACGTGCGTCACGCTTTTTTGTACATTTCTTTGCCCATTTTTGCACGACTACGACGTGAAAATGCTTAATTTCCTTCGCGTTTTATGGGGGACATAAACAAGCAACGACGAAATTTTATTCCCCTTTTCGAACTTGGATATGGCCCCTAGGAATTCAATTCCAGGAGGGTTTTCCCAAATTGACAAAGTAAGTGGGTAGGAATGACTGCGATAAAGACTGAATTAACGCAAATTCACTTTTTAAGCGACGTTCTTGTTGCCGTCGCGTCGTTGGATCTTAAAGTCCCTAAAATCGAAAGGTCTCTGTTGCTTAGGTTGATGACAACAGGACTGACAGCTGCAGTCAGTGACGCCGGTCCGAGCTTCCTTAAAACTTTATTTCCCATTTGAGTAAAGAATGTAAAATTGCACAGGAAGTTAAGTTCGCGCGTATTGCTCATGATTGACAGCTTTCTATAAAGGTCCCAGCTGACGATAAAAGTGGCATGGAAAAGTGCAGTGGTTGTTGGAAAAATAACCTTGGTGATCTGTTTCGCGTTTTGTTAAATGGATTTTTACGGATCTTAAAGCGGAAACTTAAGAAAAAACAGGAACACATATTGCTGCCCTCTTATCGTTCATGAGAATAAAGAATCTACTTCATACCTTGACTTAAAGTAAGTCAACAGCTTATTCAAAACCACACTGACTTTTTCCCTGTCCGCAAGGGGACTGGGCTGGAACCAATGCCAGGGGCTGCCTCTACTCAACATGTCTGTGTCGTCTCTTGGAAAAACTAGTGATTCTTTGATACGCCACCAGCCAGAATACCTTGCGATCGTCCCACGAATCAGGAAGCTTGGATTGTACGGGCATGTTGGTAACGAAGATAACTCTTTTGATACTGATGCCACTAAATCCAGTCTTTGTTTTCTGGTAAACAAGTTAGCAGGGACAGACGAACATGTAGAACGAGGGCCTAGTAAGAAATAGCCCATGAAAAGTAGGCTGGAAATCACTATACCGAACAAAAACGACCGCGTGTTAAATGCTCCCGGCCGTCTCCTTCTGAGACAAGTCCACCAAAACCTCATTTTTGTTTCACTTTCTTTCCTTTGAGAACTGAAACAATAAATTATGATTATAAATAATAACTGAATAGAACTGAATGAGTCCAATTTGGTCTATGATGCAAAGGATATGAAATAGTTCGATTTGTTCCATTTGTGTTTTAGTGTCAGTAAAGAAGTTATTGAAAGATTGTTATTTAACATCTTTATTGGGTAAGCTTAATTTTTGTACTTGACTACAAAAATCAAAAGCTGTCATACAAATTTAGCAAACTTAAAGAAAAAAAAGAGATAAAAACAGAGATGTCTCAACAAAGAGATATATGAACGAAACGGCTTCCCCTCGAGGAAAGATCAAGAAAGGTATGATATTCTTTGGATATTCTTGTTGGTGAGAAGTGTCAATCTCATTGGTGGTTGTTGGAAGTTGGCGGTCTAGAGTGTCCTGTAGTACTGTCCTGTGGCGCAGACTAATGTTCTTTTAATCAATACTGCTTCTTTGTTGTACTACAGCCTCATAAGATGGTTGGTATTTTTGGCTAGTGCCCCGGCCCGCCTAGCCCGGGAAGAGGACAAAGTGACCGTTAAATATGTTGAGGTGAGGATAATAAAAAATGATCGTTGGGACCACGAAAAAGATCGACCGCTTAATAAAGGGTGACCGCTTGACACAGGTCAGTTTCACAGTAATTAAGGGATACTACTTTCCGGACTCAAGAAAGTAATCGCTTAATAAGATGATCGCTTAACTCTTTAAGCTCTAAGAGTGATCTTCATCAAATTTCTCCTGTAAAATGAATGCTTTACAAAACACGTTGGTGATGATAATAAAGGAAATGGTCACACAACAGGGGCACGAAATGACTGTTTTCTGTAAAATATCTGTTCAGGAGAAGCAAAAATTGCCTAGAATTTTCTATAGCTTGAGGAAAGCTAAAAATTTCGAAGCTTAATTAATAAATTTCCTACGATTTTCTGAAGTTTAATTTTTCCCATTTTACTCCCCATGTTAGGCCATTTTTTGTAGAGAAAGGAAACCTAAAATTTCAGAATCGAAAATGCGATGCAGAGAGGAATCAGAAAAATAATCAGTTTCGTAAAACCTTAAATTGCAGCTAAAATTTTCGGGTTCATAATACTGAAGCCCTTGTAATTTCGAAAAGACTCAAGGTGCCCTAGGGTGACCGAACAGATATAAATTTTTTAGCCTGGATAGCCTAAAGAGTGTCTTCAAAGCATTTAGAAGGAAACTATCGTTGGTTGCCCCTAATACAATAGGCTGATTTACCAACAGAACGGGAACGTCAGTTGACGTCGGCACGCATAAATCAAACAACTGACTTGACCAATGGCACAGCGGCAAATTTGGCGCCGGAAGTCGAGTTTAGTCCTTACCACGCGCTTTGCCGTCGTCACTGAATGACGTTCCCCTTCTGTTCCTAAATCAGCCCAATATGAATCTAATTAATACTTCAACAAATTCTCCCCGTTACTTTAATAGGAAACGTATAGGGACAACAAATGAGAATCTGAATTCTGATGTTAAGGGTTAAAAGTAAAAAAAAAAGGGTTAATTCAGGTCCGCTTAATACCGAGTTTTGACTGTACTTGATCGATGTTTATAGTGTTACAGCTGAATTCTTAGTTTACCTTGCATCAGTAGATTCCCTCGGTCATCGATAACGGCTTACTAGCAGGGCGAGGCCACACACCTAAACCCAAGCACGACTGACGAAGCTTACTCTGAGAAAGTTCTTTTAAACGAAGCGACCATCTGACCTAAGCGAAACAGTAACAGTAGTATACGTAAAAAGCGGAACTACCCCAATGGAAAACATTATCTTTCAAGCATTTAAAATTGGATATGTGGATGACTTTGTCGTGATCGCATGAGTCTCACAAGTTCCGCCGATACGTTATCACGGTCTCATGAGCTGACAACTGATTTCTCACGCTTCTTGAAAACTCAGGAAAATATACTTTTGGAGCTGATCTGTAGGACTCGACGTTTCCAAGTAAGAAAGATAATACGGTGGCCTGTAAAGTGCAGACCTGCCAACCCCTGATAAAGGAAAATCTAAAAACTCATGAAAAAATCTGGAGATTCTATAAAAAGTAGTGAGATTCTATCTTTCCATTGGGGGGAGCGTTTAAGTAGTCATTTAAATACTGACTTTGCTTTATTTGTAGCCTCGC